CTGGTCCCCTATCGCCACCCTCTGTCCCCGACCTTGGAGAAAGGAGGCAAACCATTGAAGGGCAAGCCCCTGAATCCCCACGTCAGCGAGGCGGCGGGCCAGCAACTGGTGGTCAACCATATCGAACGCAGCTGACTGTCACGGCAGGGCCAGGGAGCATGGGTTAAGCAAGTCAAGTCCAAAGCCAGTCCGAGGTTCCGCCAATAATTCAAACAGCACTGAGGTTTAAACAAGTCCAAAACAGTTCACAAAGCCAGAGTCATCAGAGTCCATAAATCAAGGAAAGCCAGAGTATCGCAGATCCGAACTCGTGGTCAAGCAATGCCGGGAGTCAGGGAGCCGGAGTGTCAGGAGCAGAGTAACGAACGGTCAAGGTTTCAAAGAGTCAGGAGCAAGGTTGCACAGAGCGACTGGTCCTGTCAACTGAAGTTGCCAGCACAAATCACTTCCAGCAGCAGGTTTGTTGATATAGTGTGCTGGCTCATTAACTTGTTATCTTTCTTGGAGCAAGGTCAGGCCTCTGTTAAAACTCAGGGCTGAACGAGTGTCTTCCGCGCATGCATGCAGCCTTGCGTCTCTCGTTCAGCTCCTGTCTTCTTTGACTCCTGAGCCGGTTCACAGGTGGCGGGGAGTCGGGTGGCGAATTGCTTGTGTTAAGCAGAGCCTGATCCGGCGCAGGTGTCTCTTGGGAGGTTCTATCCTCCTCAAGACTTAGAGTGTCTTCTGTTAAAGGAGCCAGTTCCTGGCTGGCGGGCTCTGCTTCTGGGAGTATATCAGGGGCTTGTGGTGCCAAGTCCCCTTGTTCCTGGCTGTCAGCTGACACATCAGGGGCAGGCATGACACCGACAGGTCTAACAACACCAGTGCCGCCACACCGCCCCAATCCAGATGCCTACGGAGGTCGTCCGTCAAGGTGACCAGCACCGTCTCCATCCCGTGGCCGGGGAGAAAGCCGGACTGGAAGGGATCGAGGACAGAAGCCTCATCCAGGTAACCCTGTAACTGTGTCGCCACAGTTTTGTTTTGTCCGCCTTAAATCTACTGCCCATCAGCTTCATTGGATCCCCTCCAGTTCTTGTATTTTGGGAGAGGGAGAAAAATTTATCTTTGTCAATTCTCTCCACCCCATGCATAATTTTATAAACCTTTATCATGTTCCTCCTTAGCTGTCTCTTGTCTAAACTGAAAAGTCCCCAGACTCTTCAGGCTTTCTTCATAGCGAAGGTGCTCCAACCAATGTTCCCTCTAAGCTGTGGAGTCTTGTGAGCAAAAATTCTACTTTGTGAGCTACTGGCATTAAAGTTGTGAGCGAGTGATTTGGCTGCTGCATAAATTAGTTTGCTCTGGAGCCATCCTTCCTGAGCTAAGACAAAAATGTGTGAGCTGGAGGCTAAAGAACTGTGAGCTAGCTCACACTAACTCAGCTTAGAGGGAACACTGGCTCCAACCCCCTAATAATCTTGCTTGCCCTCCTCTGTACTTTTTCCATCTCTGCAATGTCTTTTTCGACTACCCAGTTAGCACTGTGGGCTTTCCAATCTGGGTCTCCCAGAGAAAATGCTCCACAATTCTCTGCAATCCAGCAGGGTTTCTTGGTATTTACTCAAATGCAAGACTAGGCTTTTTCAGCTATGCCACCAAAGAAAGAGGGGTCAATTTACAGTTGCATAGAAGTTACAGCAACAGCGACAACAAAAATAGTTCAATTTGATTCCAGACCAACAAGATATTTAGAGTATGAGCTTTTGAGAGGCAAAGCCCCCTTCAGCAGATACCAAAAACAAAAACTGTGTGCAATTTTTTCGGGGTGTGTGTGTTGTCTTACATTCAGGGTCATCTTCCTTTTGAATAAATATGATACACCAATAGGGAAAACGTTCCATGACAACAAGAGGCCAACAACAACTTATTGTTGATTTTATTCTCTCTGTAAGCTGCCCTGAGCCGGCTGTGGCTGGGTAGGATGGGGTATAAATTTAATAATAAATAAACAAATAGTTTGATAACAAAATTGTCTTGCAAAAATTCTACAACTGTGCTGTCATCTGGCACAGGTGGTCACAAGGACATGACACTTTACTGAAATGCAATCACTGAGACAGGCAAACTGAAGAGTTAAAGACTCTGTTCACACGTTAGATTATCAACTGGTCCTTGGGGTTAATATGATTGCATAATAATGTGCATTGCTGGAATGCCAGACAAGATGGCTCTCGCACAGTTTCCAAGAACATCCAATCAGGTGTTTCCAGGAACTCACAGGCCGGACATGATGGTTGTGAACATCACTGATCACTTGTCCCTAACACCTGGTACTAACGTATACATATTTCTATTCCACATGGAGGTTCTATTCCACTATCACAGATACCACCTGTTGATACTGTTATCATCAGTCAATCTGTATCTCATCTCTTTTTAAACAGCAGTTCTGCCTTTAGGAGACAAGATGAACCCTGAATTCACACACAACCACTGAGATTAGTGCACAGGTAAATAGCACTGCAAAGAAGTCCCAAATAACAGAGGGCTGGTTCTTATTTGCTTTCCCATTTCTTGCCCTGTGCGACATGTATAGTCCAGTCCTATCTTCTGATGGCAAAGAGCATCTGCCTGATCCCAAACTGACCAAGTTTGTGTGGCCTCAATCTCTCTCCCACAGAGAAAACGGGTTGGTTTTGCTGTTGCCTTTTTGGAGAAAGTTGTTATTTATAAATACATGAAAAGCATCTAAGCAGCTTACAACTAGGATCATTGAGTTGCCATGGCAATGCCCTTTCCGATGCGAGGATTTGTTTCAGGTTCTTCCAGGTTCTGTTCTTCTTTCCAGCTGCAGCTCCTCCGATGCTGGAGTGCTAAAATGGTTTTAAAGAGACAGACAGAGTTTGCAAACAAAATGCATTGGATTTGGCATTTTTATTAGGGCACCGCACTGATGGCAAAATCTGTTCTACCCGTTTACTTCAACGGATGCGGGCCAATTTCTTTCTTAGATGCAGCAGAGGAGGGAATTTTGATCAGTGTCATAGCTTAGTATGAATGGAATGAATGGAAGACGTGTCCTTTTAATGTGGGGGACACAGTCCAGATGGCCAGGGTGGCTGGGACCACAAGACGAAGGGATCTCCCAGGATCTGCCCATCCAGGTGCGGGGCCGGTGCCTCCCATGGCCATAATGAGCCCGTTTGTGGCAGATTCGCTTCTCATCCGAGCCTTGATCACACCCTGGGGAAACTGCCGAAAACCACCGCTCAGCTCCACCTGCCCTGCTCCTGAGCCCAGGGGACAAGGGACGCGGGACACGCCCGCAGGGAGAGAGACTCCCACCGCATCAGTCTGACAATAACCCTGTCCCTGTGCCCTTCCCTGGTGACCGTGGGCCGTCAGGCTGATGCACCTGGACTCCAGGGGCATCATTTAGACGTTTATTTATTCATTTAATATTTATTTATTAGAACATTCATATCCCGCCTTTCTTCTTGGTTCAAGGTGGCTTACAATAAATACTTAAAAACATTTTCAGTTTAAAAGCAAAAATAAGATAACGAACCTCAATCTTACCCTCCCTTAAAAGATGGCTGCCAGCTCAACCCCCCTCCAAAGCCCCGGCAAGCAGGCAGGCAGGCCTTGCAGGGTCTCGGGGGGGGGGGGCTCAACTCTCCAGGGAGCCCGTTCCACAGAGCTGGAGGCATGATGGGAAAGGCCCGGGCTTGGGTAGATGCCAGAATGTCAGACCCCCAGTCCAGTTACACTTAACAACTCTCTCTTGGCAGTGATGAGTTTATTGAATTGTATGCAAGATCCAGAAAGTCACTGTGTTAGAACTGAAGACTTTTGGTGGGTACAAGCATAATACAGATCATTCGAATGAAAGCCCCTTCCTTCCCCCATGCATACGTCACATTCATACCACGCCTAATGTTGCCATCCCAACCAAGTGAAAGATATAAGTTTTTGGTTATCTGCGGTTCAAGCTGGTACAGAGGAACTCTCAAGGACGCCTTCCCATGGGAAATGGAAAGGAGGGAAAGGAGGCGTGGCTTGGAAGGAAGCTATGACTTCTTGAAGCAAAGGTCCCACTCTCTCACTCATTCACTCACTCACCCCCCCCTCCCGGCAGGAAGTCCCTCCCCCCAATAACTATGGCAACCAAGGCGAACAAAGTGGAGCATGGCTTGACACAGATGGGCCACCCTGAGCGGTGGGATAGCCAGACTGGTGGCTGCCCGAGGACTGCCGTTCGAGCACAGGGACGCCTGTGGGTCCCAGGTTGTGAAGGGCTTTAGCCGTCATAGCCAGCAGCACCCTGAAGTCGACATAACCTTCAGTGACTGCAAGCCCAGGCCCATCCGTGCAGTTTGCCCAACTCAGAGCCGTTGAGAAGCCCCCTCCACTCGCCCTCTTTTTGCCAGCATACTGAAGACGAAAGGGGGAGCGCAAATGGACTGCTAGGGGGAGAAGTAGGTCAGGGGAACTCAGTCCAGCTTGCTTTCCGTCCCAAACAGCCGTCTGCCATTTGTTTTGTGAGCCAATTTGCTGCAGTGGTTAAGTGCGTGGACTCTAATCTGCGAGAACCGGGTTTGATTCCCCACTCCTCCACATGCAGCTGCTGGATGACTTTGAGCAAGCCACAGTTCTGTCAGAGCTGTTCTCTCAAGGACAGCTCTGGAAAGAGCTCTCTCAGCCCCACCTACCTCACAAGGTGTGTCTGTTGTGGGGAGGGGAAGGGAAAGGAGTTTGCGAGCCGCTCTGAGACTCCAAGTGAAGGGCGGGGTATAAATCCAGTCTCTTCTTCTTCTTTGTCAATTTTCTGTCCAGGCTTATGCACATGAGCCCCAACGGGTAGAAGAAAACACCAGTTTATACATGTGGTTCCCCATCGAGCTCAGAATACACATGAAAACCTTGTGTCTGCATGTATATCCTTGCTAGCTGGATCAGGGCAAACATATTGGGGGGGTGGGATATTATGGCCAGCAAAACTTTCCTTGAAAGTGTTATTTTTCTTCTCGCCAAAAAAAAAAGAGACTGAAACAGGCAGCTCTTAACACAACTAGATCTGAGTCTCACAGCACCTTAGAGACCAACAAGATTGGGGGGGGGGTGTTCTCACAGACAGATTTTGGGGAGTCTGATTAAGGGAGCTTTGACCTGAAAGCTCATCGCCCCCCAAAACCTTGTTGGTCTCCGGGGTGCTCCTGGGCTGGAACTCGGCTGGTCTCCTGCAGACCCCCCACAGCTGCCTTCTAAACACCACAGTGCAGTTAGCCAGAAGAGTCTCACGTTTTCCAAGCTGCCTGTAAAAAAAAGACACCTTGGCCACTGTCGTGATAATGCTAATTTTGCTTATCAGAGCAATTACTCTGGAGCGCTCCGCATGGATCCCCGAAGAGCTGAACAATATGAACTGTGCTGTACTCTTCAGTAAAAGGGGGCTTGCTTTCCGGGTGAGTTGTTCTTTTAAGTCTTAGGTCTGGGAAGGTAATCTTTCATCATTTAATAATTACCAGCTGCTGTTATCTTCTTATCTCCAAACTCACACAAAGCTCTGTTGAGAGGTCTGGGTTCTGAATGTTTTGTGAGCCGACTGTGAAGGCAGAGGGTAGCAGCTAAGATAAAATAAGGGGACCAGATTCACTGGTGGATGCCTTCCCAATAACAGGATCCTTGAAGGCAGAAACTGCAACTCTCACTGATTTGGGGGGTGGGCTTCCACCTGAGGAAGTGGGAGAAGGACTTCAAGTCTGGTAATGTCCTACCGAACACCGTTAATGACTTAAATTTGTGGTAATGCTGTTTTGTTTTGTTTTTTGTATTTAACTTTGTTATAATAGTACCTATATTAACTACAGTGAAATTGTATACAATGGTTAAATTCTCTGTATCTTGTTATTACTTGCTAACTTACCTATTTGATGTTTATATTTTCTTCTTTATAATAAAATGTTATTTGGAGAAAAGTCTGGTAATGTCCCAGGACAGAATTTGTCATCAATGCATATCCACAAGCTGGAGGAACATTTATTTACTCCCGTGCCCCAGGGAGCCGTGTTGTCCCCAATGTTGTTTAACATCTACATGCGCCCCCTTGCCCATAGCATTAAAAAAAAAAGTCACTAAAATTTCTGAACCACATGCAAGCAAAACCTATGAGATACAAGCCCATATCAAAGCAGAAACAATGGATAAATGGGGCAGTAAAAGAAAAGTCAGATAGAAAGAAGGGCCAACAGAAACAGTGACATGAACCAAAATCTCTGGCCCGGCTCTAGTGGTAAATCTTTGTGGATGGAAGGGTTTTTTGATGGTGGGATGGGACTGTCTTGCCTCTACGTAGGGTTGCCAAGTCATACCTTGGCTGCAGCGGGGGGAGTCCTGGTCCTCTCCGGGAGTTCTTTGGTGCACACGCTTTGCGTGCGCGCTGCGATGATGTCACCCAGAAGTGATGTCATCATGTCAGGCACGTTGGGGGCAGGACCACCATCATTCGAGGGGAAACCATAGAGTTCCCACTACGTCCCTGAAGTTTAAACTTTTTTAAAAACTTCATTTCCCCACCGCCCTTCTCCCCACTGGGGACCCCAAGTGGCTTATATCGTTCTCCTCTCTATTTTTCATCACAGCAACCCTGCGGCACGGGTGAGGCTGAGTAGGTAACTGGCCCAAGTGAGGGAATCAAACCTGGGTCACTCGGATCCTACTCCGTCACTCCGGCCACCACCCCACACTGGCTCTCTTGTTCCCAGGGGACAGGGAACCCCCAGGAAAAGCATGCTGGGAAGGGGGAGTCAGTGATCTGTGGCAAAAAAATCACCCCCATTTCCATCAGCAATTTTTCCCCTGCGGGATTCAGCTCTCGATCCTAAAACAGACAGGAGTTTTATCCCCTTGCAGAATGTCAGCCGAGTCAGAGAGCTTCTGAAAGCTCCAGGGGGCCTCCTGGGAACTCAGTTTCAGAGGGCAGCCATGGTGGTCGGCAGCAGGACGGCTGGATTCGAGTCCGGGAGCACCCGAGAGACCCACAAGGGGTTTTGAAGGGAATGAGCTTTCAAGGCCCTGACCTTTAAAAGGAGTGGCTGTCAGATCCCTCTTTACAAAGCTGTTTCTGGTTGAACTGAAAAATTATAGGCCAGAGTTATGCCACGTCTTAGTAAGGCGATATCGAGAATGGGGGCCAGACAGTTTCAGAAGACGACAGAGTGGTGAGAGAAAGGGGAAGGAGCCTATATGCGAAGACTTGTCGCGGGTCCCTTGTTGTGGGGCTAAAAGGTAGGCCCCGGGCCGGAAAAGGCCGGAGACTCACGACACCGTAAACGAAATATTAGTATCATCTGAACACAGGAATACTTACGGTGAAGCTGGGTGCCTTGAAAGGCAACAGCTTGGCAGAAGTCTCTGCTGGCCCCATGCTGGCATCTGCGGGCACCATTTTATTCTCACTCCCCTTCTCTGCACTGGCACTCTAGGACAAAAAAGAGACTCCTTTAGTTTGAGGGCTGTTAGTGACACAGGCAATTTCGCAGTCCCTCCCCCCACTCTGAAGATTCACTTAACGGTCACAGACTGTCATTATCCATACACTTCTCACCCTGGTTTATTTGCCCTAAACCTAGTTGCATACAGATTTTAAAATTTTGTAGACCATAAATTGTATGGATATGCTACGTCTCAAAAATGGGCACACTGATAAGGTACAGAATTTTTCAGTAATTCTGGGCTTTGGAATTACTGAAAAAGGTGGAAGCAATCTGGATTTATTTAATATTTTAGTATGAATGTGTGTGTGTGTGTGTGTGTGTGTATCCATCCGTCAAGTCAGAGTTGACTTATGGCGACCCTGTGGGGTTTTCAAGGCAAGAGACATTCAGAGATAGCTTTTCTTTGCCTGTCTCCACATCACACAATTTCTACGATGGAGAGCCAGTTTGGTGTAGTGGTTAAGTGTGCAGACTCTCATCTGGGAGAACCGGGTTTGATTCCCCACTCCTCCACTTGCACCTGCTGGACGACCTTGGGCAAGCCATAGTTCTCTCAGAGCTGTTCTTGAAAGGGCAGTTTCTGTCAGAGTTCTCTCAGCCCCACCTACTCACAGGGTATCTGTTGGGAGGGGAAGGGAAAGGAGATTCTAAGCTGCTCTGAGACTCCAAGTGCATGACAGGGTATAAATCCAATCTACTCCTCCTCCTCCTTCTCCTCTTCTTCTTAAAGGGTTCCTATGCAGAAGTGAAGGAGTTTCAGCAACTGGTTTAGAAACTGAGGCCCAGAATGAGTCACCATTTCCCATTCCTCTTCAAAACCAAGATAAAGATTGAATATAGGCCTAAACCACACTGATTTGAGGTAACTGATTCTTCAACCCTAACTCCTGAAGTTATCGGAGTTTGAAGAACTCATTGAAAAGTTTGACTGGAAGGCAGAGGAGACTGCAGGAACCTTCTTGGAGGAGGTGAGGCGAGCTCTAATTGAAGACCCAAGAAAACTGCACAGAGGACCCACTGATCCTGAACAGGCTGTTCTTGCAGTTGACTTCCCACCCCCTCAGGAAAGGCATTAGCGCTAACTGGGGCATCTCATTTTACTCTTGGAGGGTCCAGTATTACCTCAGTGGGCACTAGATGATGAAGGTTGTAACCTAGAGGAAGGTTTGTAGTGATTCCAGGAAAATCTGCTGTAGACATGGGGGTTCCTAGAAGGTCCAAATGCCCTAGAGACCACAGAGGAAGAGCCCAAATTTCTGGATCCTGGTCTGGAGATGTTACTGTCTGAGAGAGGGATTCATGTCTTCTGTTTCGTCCAAATTAGAATACCTTCTAGCTTGTCCCCCAAGACCATGTCACCTTTGAAGGGGTAAGATACCACTATGGTCTTGGTATCCTCATGGATCACTGCCTTGTCGTGGCGAGGGGGCTTGCGTACTTCAATGAAGCTGTGGGCTATGCCGTGAAGGGCCACCCAAGACGGACAGGCCACAGCAGAGAACTCAGACCAAGAGTGATCCCCTGGAGAAGGTAATGGCAACCCACTCCAGTATGTTAGCCAAGAAAACCCCATGGACAGTATCAAAAGGCTAAAAGATATGACGCCGGAAGATGAGCCCCTCAGGTCAGAAGGTGTCCAATATGCTACTGAGGAAGAGCAGAGGGCAAGTACAAGTAACCACCCTGGAGAAGGTAATGGCAACCCACTCCAGTATGTTAGCCAAGAAAACCCCATGGACAGTATCAAAAAGCTAAAAGATATGACGCCGGAAGATGAGCCCCTCAGGTCAGAAGGTGTCCAATATGCTACTGAGGAAGAGCAGAGGGCAAGTACAAGTAACCGCAGAAAGAGTGAAGCGGCTGGGCCAAAGCCAAAAGGACGCTCAGTTGTGGATGTGTCTGATGGTGAAAGGAAAGTCCGATGCTGCAAAGAACAATACTGCA